GCGTCTTCAGGCGGCGGGAAGAGCTCCGGTGGTGGTCGAGGTGGAGCTTCTTCCTTCCCCTCCTTATTCTCTTATTCTTCTCTCTCTTCACTTCAGTCCCCCTTTGTGAAGAATGAGGGCTCTATTTATATTTTTTCTGGAGTGGCATAGCTCGTAAATAGATGTGAGATCATGGGCGAATATGGAGTGGTTTGAATGGACGGCCGATATTGAACCCTTCGATCGTGCATCGTTCGTTGGACATTTGGAGGCCTTAATGATGTCAAAATTCGGCGATCTTGGGCTCGTTGGATTCGTCTAGTCTAGCCGCTCGATTCGAGTGTAAGCTCGTTAAAATCGGAGACCGTTTGGTAACTCAAATTGAGGTTTGAACCTTCCAACAGAGCTTCGGGTCCTTGATTCGGACTCATTTGGGCTCAGATTGGGTTGATCTTGGTGTCGTTGGGTTCGTATTTCCGAGACGCTCAGTTTGACTATAAGCTCGCTGAAATTGGAGTTCGGGTGCTCCCGGTATTAATTTTTGAAATTTTCAACTAGCTTTTGCCACGAGATTCGTGCCCGATCAAACTAATTTTGTGATGCCGTATTGCTAATATTTTTAAAATTTTCTTTTACAAAAGCACCACAAAAAAAAAAGAAGCCTCACTAGCATCGCTAGACTCATTTACAGTACAAAACCCCGCGAGTAAATCCAACGCACTAGCAACTATATAAACCGTGCTATTTGAACACGGGGCGTCTCTGTTTCTCCATTTGTCCAAGGCTCTCGCACTCATCCCGCACAGCTCAGCACTCTCTCTCTCTCTCTCAAGGAAGCATGCTGTCGCTGAACAAAAGCTGCATTCTGGTAAAACTATAGTTTTCTCTATCTATAAATTTGGAACATTATCTGAAAAATCTGAATTTTGAATCTGCGCTACGACGTGGCTAAATTTTACGGTGCTCGAGAAGGGCTGAAGCTTTATTTTATGAATATTTTTTGTAATGGATAATCATAAATAAGTTGGGGGTGTAGCGGAGTCGTCTGAGGTGTTTCTGAGCTTCGTTCTTCTTGAATTTGGGGAGCAGAGAATCGGTTGGAGAAGTAGAGAGTGGCGGTGGCGGCCTAGGGAAGCGGTGGTGGTGGTGCGGTGCTGCGGCGGTGTAGGAGAGGGGAACGGAAGGGGCATTTCGATGGAGAGGTCGACGGAGGAGCGCAGAGAGAAAGGGGATTCAGTGCTGGATCTAGATCCCAAATCTGGGGTGGCCGGAGGCGTTCAGGACGTCTATGGAGAGGATCAGGCGTCGGAGGAGCACTTCATTACTCCATGGACCGTCTCTGTCGCCAGGTAAGTTTGATCGCACCTTTTAAATTTTTTTTTTAAAATGGGCAGAGCCAAAAATTGACCATTTTATGTTTATAATTATGCTTGCTAACTAGCATTTTTCTTTGTGTAATTTAATTTGATTGAGATGGGCTGCTGATTTCCACACAAAACTTTTCTTAGCGTGATTATAGTGCTTTAAGTTTCAGACTTTAACTGCGTTTTTGACCAGCTTTGTGCTATAGTGGAGAAATATATATGCGGGCGATTGAAGGAGAGGTGATAATATGAGAATTCTGAGAAACTTAAGGCTTGGTTTGGGATGGCTTTCATTCTTCTTCTTGAAACAGCTTTGTAGTATAAAAGTTAAAATTTTTGTACTTAAAAGCTACTTAAGAAGCAATAAAAAAGCTGTCTCAAATGAAGCCTTAGGCTTAGTTTGGGACTGCTTTCATTCTGCTTCTTAAAACAACTTTTTAATATAAAAGTTAAAATTTTTGTACTTGAAAGCTGCTTCTTAAAGCAATAAAAAAGTTGTCCCAAATCGAAGCCTTAGTTGCTGAAATGTTGCTTTTGGCTTTGAAGGGTTGTTTACTTGGTATTAGTTGTGGGTCTATATTAGCGGAGACCTTAAGCAAAGCATTCTTGTTTCTGCTTGATCTGCATGTTATTCTTTTTTTCATAACTTTGCTCTTCACCAAGCAGAATCACTTTGGTGCAAAGTAATCGACAAAGAGAGTATTAAATACTTTGGATTCATGGATGGGTCAGGAATCATGCCTCACTATTAACCCCGAAATACGGAAGAAGGATTGTGCAGGCCTGGGCAAATAGAGTCAATGCTTATTAGTAAAAGTTGGCCTTAAGGATTCTAGCGAGATAGCAAAGATCTCCAGAAGAAATTCAGTAGGTAGAGGTGTTGACCTTTAAAAGTCTGTTAGTAGGAGTGATTGATTACATCATGTCTGACTTGGGATACTGTACCAAAATGAGGTTCACATTGATTCCATTGAGAAAGACAATAAGGCATTATAATGCATATGGAGTCATTTCCTACACCCTCAAAATATAGGATTATTAAGTCTTTTTGACCCAGCACCGATTAGCTTAAAGATAATCTTGGTCACGTGTTTGTCAACTCAGCAAAGGCCCAAGATTACTAAAATGTGTGAAACATCAGTAAAATGAAGAATGTAGAACTAAGGTCTTTGGGTCGGCACTAAGGTTTTTTTTTTTTTTTTTTTTTAATTTTGATTTCATTCATCAAGTTAACAACTGCTGCAAAGTTCAATCGATTCAACGAAAACTCATATAAGTGATATGTCACCAAACATTGGTCTTGATCGGGCACGAATCTCAATGCAAAAATAAAATTGGCTTCAAAAATTAAAATCGGGACCATCAAATCTCCAATTTCAGCAAGGGTATAGTCAAATTGAACATCTCAAGGAGACGATCCTAATGACATCAATTTTAATCCAATCCGAGCTCAAATGTGCCCAAATCAAATGTCTAAAGTATATTTGGAAGCTTAGAGCATTAATTAGACTACCAAATGACATCTTAATATGGCATGCTTATAGTCGAATCGAGTGGCTCGACGAGATGAATCCAACGAGCCTAAGATCGCTTAATTCCGACATCATTAAGACACAAAAATGTTTGATAAATGCTCTATGATCATGGGAATCACTATCAGTCGTCCGGTTGAACACTCCCAACTTACCCTTCTTCTTCTCCCTATTTACTAGTCATGCCACTTCCAAAAAAATTATAAATAATGCCCCCAAAAAAATAAAAAAAACCCCCCCCCCCCCCCCCACCCCACATTCTTCACTTGAAGGGGAGGAAGAAAATGAGGAAAGTTGGGAGCTCCCTTGCCGTCAACCACCGCCGGATCTTTTCCAGACCACCAATCGTCGCTAGACTTCCGGTCGTTTGTTAGCTACCACCGTATCTCTGCCCTACCACCAGCCGTCGTCAGACTTTCGTCTGTTCTTTGACTATCGCCGGAACTCTTCCTGGATGCTATCGACGCCAGATCTCCTCCCAAATATCCTCGTTTGCCGACTACGGTTTTTCCGGCCTCCATCGCCCGCCGACTACGATCCTTCCGACCACCGTCATCTAACTACGATTTTTTTGACCTTTGTTGCCCGCCGACTACAGTCCTTCCAACCATCATCACCTGACTGTGGTCTTTCTGACCTCCATTGCACGTCATCTACGGTATCTCCGAACTATGATCTCCTCGATCAGCGTCGCTAAAATACGGTCTTTCCGACCCCCGTCACCTATCTACGATCTTTTCTACCCCGACCACTATCACTCCACTACAGTCTCCCCGACAGTCGTTGCCCGACTACAGTCCTTCCGACCTTCGTCACTTGACTACGATCTTCTCGACCTCCGTCGCCCACCAACTTACACCCCTAGGTGACATTAGCTCTAATGGTAACTTATCAGGTGTGCCAACAATGATATTAATAGAGATGAGGGCATGAGTTCTTAAGTTTAAATTAAAATTTTAAAATAGAGTTGTAATAATATTCTGAACAAAATAATATGGGATTATTATGGAGGCTTCAAGATTGATTTTATCCTTTGAAATTATATGTACTATGTTGTATGATTCTTATTAGTGTTAGATGATAGATAAGCCACAAGCCACTAACAACCAATGTGAATGTGAAGGAAATGAGAATGATAAAGATGCAAGTGGTAAAATTAGGAATTATAAAGTGAGAAGATATAATATAAAAGAGAGAGCAGTAGTTGCACATATTGATAAAAAGGTAGTGGAAAGTAGACTTTGTTTGGGCGTTTGAAGTTGATTGCTAAAGTTACATCAATAATGCAGGCATATAGCATTGATATTAAATGTTTAGGAAGAAAAATGGGTTGATTAAAACTTAGGCTTTGTTTGGGATGACTTTTTTTATTGATTCTTAAAACAACATTCTAGTTTAAAAATTAAAATTTTTATATTAGAAAGCCACTTTGGGAAGCAGTAAGAAAGCCGTCTCAAATGAAGCCTTAGGTGGATGTTGTACAAAATGACTTATGCATAATAGAGTTAAGAGTAACAATTAGAAGTAATGAATCTTTTTGTTATTCACATCAAGTAAACGACTGGTTTTTCTGTCTATTATTTATCTTTCTTAGAAAACCAGCACTTGTGATTTAAGCACATTTTTCCAGTCAATGTAATCCAAAGTGTACTTTCGAATAATAACACACTGCTTTATAGGTGTGGTTTTGCTTTGTATTTGGTTTTTATACCATCTGTTTGCATTGAGCATTTTTTCCTTTCTTGTCACGTAGTGGTTACTCTTTGTTGAGAGATCCCCATCATAATAAAGGGCTTGCCTTCAGTGAGAAAGAAAGAGATGCGCACTACTTAAGAGGACTCTTACCTCCCGTATGCATCAGTCAGGAGCTTCAGGTTCTTACATGTCTATGAATTTAAAAGCAGTTATTTGAGATTGTTACTAAGGTTTCGTTTGGGGCGGCTTTCTTACTGCTTCTTAAAGCAGTTTTTTAGTATAAAAAATTTATTTGTTGTACTAAAAAGCTGCTCTAAGAAGCAGTAAGAAAGTTGTCCCAAACGAAAGCCTAAATATTAATTTTTTATTAATCCGTTCATTTCTATCCTGCAGGAAAAGAAACTTATTCACAATCTTCGTCAGTATCAAGTTCCACTGCAGCGATACATGGCAATGATGGATCTTCAGGTTCTCTTGATAAATGTTTCAGGATACCTTTAATCTTGCTAATGATGCTTTGTTTGGTCGTACTTATGTCTTACCTTCTTCACTTTTGCAGGTGAGAAATGAGAAGCTTTTCTACAAACTTCTTATTGAGAACGTTGAAGAGTTGTTACCTGTTGTTTATACACCAACTGTTGGGGAGGCTTGTCAGAAATACGGTGGTATCTTTAGGCGTCCACAAGGTCTTTACATCAGCTTGAAGGAAAAGTATGAGGACACATGGCCTGGTTGCTTTCTTTTATCAGGGTATATTTTTTAGTTATGTTAATGAATCTGTTGGGGTTTGCAGGGGTAAGATCTTAGAAGTGTTGAAGAACTGGCCTGAGAGGAGAATTCAGGTTATTGTGGTCACTGATGGTGAGCGTATATTGGGCCTTGGAGACCTTGGTTGCCAGGTCAAGTTTTTTTAACCATGTTTTGCATAATAATAATAGTTTAGTAAATGTGTTAGGCCGGTTGAACCGATCCAACCTAGACCAGTTCAGGTGTACTACCGTTAGCCTAGGGGGAGGTCGGAACTAAAGGGAGAGGGGGCGGATGGCCTAGTGGGCCCAAGTAATTAATGTAATGGGTGTTTAGGAGGGAAATTTGAATTAGAGGGCTGATTAGGGATTTTTTATGTCTCATTTGCTTTAATTATGGACTAATGATATAATTATGGTTTCTTCTTGAATTTGAAAGGAATTAGACATCTAGGGTTTGTGTTCTTGGGCTCTAGGCTTGGCTAGAGAATCAGAGAATCAGAGAATTGAAGAAACGTGTATCTTTTACTGTTTCCCTGCATCTACTAGTGGAATCCTTCGTTTTCTCCCAGTTTTCTACTGTTTTCCCCAAGAAATTTGTTGTTCGTTGCTGATTTTCTGCTGTAAACAGCAGTTTTGTTCCCTGTTTTCACCAATTGTGGTTAGGTTTGCTTGCAAACTCAAGTATTTCCCTTAGGGTTGGCGCTTGCGAACTCAAGTATTTCCTATCAAAATGCTTATAAATTGTATACTAAAAAAATGGAAAAAACCCTTAAATTTAACAGGGAATGGGGATTCCTGTTGGCAAACTCTCTCTTTATTCTGCTCTTGGAGGAATTCGTCCATCTGCTGTAAGAATCTCTTAATCAACCTGATCTTCTTCAAGTTCTAACTGGTTATAATATGCTTTTACTAATGTATTTTTCTAATTCAGTAAATGTGTTAATGTTTCTTGCGCCAATTTTTTCAGTGCTTACCTATCACCATTGATGTGGGGACAAATAATGAGCAATTACTGAAGGATGAGTTCTATATTGGATTGAGGCAGAGGCGTGCCACTGGGAAGGTATGCCATATCTATAGAAGTAGTTAAAAGCTGCCATGCATGACTAATGCGTCGTTTGGGACAGCTTTATTACTGCTTCTTGAAGTAGCTTTCTCGCACAAAAATTTTAATTTTTATACTAAAAAGCTGCTTCAATAAGCAATAAAAGAGCCATCCCAAACGAAGCATCTTCTTAAAACAGTTTTTTAGTACAAAAATTTTAATTTTTATACTGAAAAGTTATTTTAAGAAACAATAAAAAAAACCGTCCCAAACAAAGCGTAACTCTTGCTTTTCTTCTGTTTAGGAATATTCTGAACTGCTCCATGAATTCATGCGAGCTGTTAAGCAAAATTATGGGGAAAAAGTTCTCATTCAGGTTGGCTCAAGTTTTTACTCAAAATAAAGTTCTTCTTATGCTGATATTTAATGTTATTAAGTCAATGTGTGTATGGTCATGCAGTTTGAAGACTTCGCTAATCATAACGCATTTGAATTGCTTGCAAAGTATGGAACCACTCATCTTGTGTTTAATGATGATATTCAGGTAAGATGGACACATTTTGGATTGTATATTCATCATTAAACTGTTGCAAATCTTTAATTATTTAACAGAGATTTGTTTGATTATTGCAGGGGACCGCTTCTGTGGTACTTGCTGGAGTTGTTGCGGCATTGAAGTTAGTTGGTGGGACGATAACAGAACATACATTCTTATTTTTCGGTGCTGGCGAGGTTTTATTTTTTGCTTTATTACTTGAATGTTCACTTTTTGTGATTATGAAGCTTTCAATATGCTTCATTTCATGTTTTTTCATAGCTGTCTTTGGATTTGGTCTCAAACATTTTTTCCATTTTCCATTTCTTATTGGTTTTCTTCGGCTCCATCTTTTGGGCTGTGTTCATGTCTATCCAGTGCAGTTTCTTTTCAGTGAAAGTGAGTACTAATCTTATTGCTTTCAGGCTGGTACTGGTATAGCTGAACTTATAGCACTGGAGATGTCTAAACAGGTATCATTCATTTGTCATTCGATTGTTAGCTTTCTATGAAATTACTTCTTAGGCTTCATTTGGGACGATTTTTTTGCTGCTTTTTAAAATTGCTTTCTAGTACAAAAATTAAAATTTTTATACTAGAAATCTGTTTTAAGAAGCAATAAAAAAGCCTTCCCAAACGAAGCTAATTGTTATTTGGAGTTTTGAACTTGTCCTTTCATGAAATTTGATTGTCAGTTTTCTTTGAAAGATCTTGCTTCTGTGCTTTCAAGGTTCATTTTTTTTTTATCCAACCTTTACTTTCCAGCTAATTATAGTCTCATTTTTTGCAGACTAAGGCTCCTGTGGAAGAGACTCGAAAGAAGATTTGGCTTGTGGATTCGAAGGTTGATTAATATGATTTAGGTTTCAAGTTTAATTGAGACATCTCATCATAGATCTTCCAATGCGTTCTATTCAATTTGATCTGATTGTTGTCATGGCTTACTTTCTGTAGGGACTGATAGTGAAATCACGCATGGAATCACTTCAACACTTCAAGAAACCTTGGGCACATGAGCATGAGCCTGTTGGTAGTCTCTTGGATGCTGTCAAGGTGTGCTCGAGAGCTCGAGTTTAAGTGATTAAGATTAATTAAATATATTAAGATTCAAACAATTATTATAATAAAATAGTAAAAAAAAAAGAACTTAGTAAAGAATCGTGTGATATAAGAAAGTGATATATAATTTTATATAATTTTAATGTCTTTGTAGTTATACTCTTGAATGCTAATATATTTTTATTAATATTTTTAATATGAGCCGTCTCGCAAGTTAATGAGTCAAGTTGAGCTGACTCAAGCTTGACTTATTAGCTTTTCGAGCTCAGCTCAAGAGTCAGCTTGACTTACAGCCTTAGCTGCAAATATTTAACAAAGTTAGATCTTCTTAATTCATTTTACCTTTTTTTTCTAGGGCCATTTCTTTGAAGCTTTAAGCTTTTTAGCTTATTAGCTATTCCTATGGCCTTCTTAAAGTTTTTTTGGCATCCTGATTCACGCTTGTTCTTGGCAATTTTTCCCCTCTCGTTTGACCCATCAAACAAATTGCTTGTGCTCACTTTTTTTTTTTCTTACTTTCCTGCTTAGACTATTAAACCAACAGTTCTAATAGGATCAGCTGGTGTGGGCAAGACATTCACAAAGGAGGTCGTTGAAGCAATGGCCTCCTTCAATGAGGTACCATGAGCCACCTTTTATTCTAAGTGCACTTTCTTAACGTATACTTCATTAATCAGATTTTTTATTTGAGGAAAACAATTTCAAATCCTTCCTTTGAATAAAACTGCAGAAGCCCGTCATTCTAGCTCTATCAAATCCAACATCTCAGTCTGAATGTACAGCCGAGGAGGCTTACACTTGGAGTAAGGTAATGCTTATTCTCAACTATATATATACGAGAAATTGAAATTTCAAGAGAAAATATTCTGATACTTATATGATCCACAGGGCCGCGCCTTGTTTGCCAGCGGTAGTCCTTTTGATCCTGTTGAACATAATGGCAAGATATATTTGCCTGGCCAGGTTCCAACGAACTTCTCTTCTCTAATGTCTTAAAAGATTGTTGCAACTTCACAATTTGATTGCATCTCTTGTAACATCCTGTATTTTGACATTGCCAATTTTTTTCTGTATTCATTATAACTCAAATCGTAAATTGTCTTCGCCATAGTATTATGATCGTAGTATTTTACCTGCACGAATTTTTTCGTAATTTCTAGACATCACATCTCTGTTCTCATATTTTTGCCAGGCAAACAATGCCTATATTTTCCCAGGTATTGGGCTTGGGTTGGTGATATCTGGAGCAATTCGTGTCCATGATGAAATGTTGCTTGCTGCTTGTAAGTTTAGTAACTAATTGATGATTCTTACATTGCATACTGAAGGATGGGCTTCTATTTAAATTTGAATAAATTACCTCTCTTTTTAGGGTGCAAACACGCCAAGTTTGAACAAGCTAAGGTTGTTCAGCTCAGGTTATTAAACAAATGAGATAAAATATTTTTCAATTGTATTAAACTCAATCAACTTATTGATAGACCAGCCCATTTGATTAGGAGGGAATTATGAAGTTTTCTAATTAAGAGGGAACTATTTAGGAAGGTTCTTAGTCAGAGGAGAATTATTTAGGAGAATTTTTAATTACATTTGGGAGGGAATTATATAGGGCAAGAAATCTAATTTGAATTCAAAATCTAAGAGGAAATTATTTAAGGAAAAGGAGGAATTAGGCGGGATTGTTTAGAAAAGTTTTAATTACAATTGGGAGGGAATTAATTATGGAAATAAATTTAATTTGAATTCAAATATGAGAGGAATTTATATAGGGAAAGGGGGCTGATTTGGGAGGGAATTATGGGAGCCCATTTAAGGCTAACTATGGGGTGATTTCGGATGATAGGAATTTGCTGAAATTAGAATTTCCTAAGTTATTTGGACTATAGCCGGAAGCTAGGGATTTGGGAGAGTTAGATCTTCCTCTCGAATTGAAGATCCAATTGTATCTTGCTATTTTATTTCATATATCTTATAATAAAAATAGTTTTCATGTGTTTTTCTTCTTTATTTCTTATCATCGTTCGCTAATTTCAAGAAAAAATGCATCTACTTCCTATCACTTATCTAAGAAAACACGAGTTGTTCATGAACATAAAATTTACTTTAAATACTATATAAATTATAGAATATACATGTCGTCATACATATATTCATAAAAGTATATATAAATATATTGATATGAATATAATCAAGTTTTTTCTAGCTGAACATATCAAGGAAGGCCTTCTTTGTATTTGGCTCACTAAATATATAAGCTTATTGTATCTAATTGAACTCGAGCTAATGATCAAACAGTTCACGATCAACAAAATTTTCCAACAGCCCTATTTCTTTTGCACCTCTGTCATCATCATGTTTTCATTGTTTCACATATTATAACAGATTTCACCTTTTTCACCAACAAAATCACCAATTCCATACAACAACAACAACAACATCAAGCCTTTATCCCACTATGTGGGGTCGGCTACATGAATCCTTTTTCTCCATTGTGCCCTATTAAAAGTTAAATTCTCATTTAAATCTAATAAAGAAATGTCATTTTAATATTTTATTACCAAGTCTTTTTAGGTCTACCTTTATTTATTTATTTTTTTTATAAAATTTTCTCCTGACTTTTTTAGGTCTACATCTATCCTTCTTAACATAAGTCAAATCTAATACATCTAATTTCCTAACCGGGTCATCATAAGTTCGCCGTTTTATGTGACCAAAACATCTAAGGTGACTCTCTCTAATCTTATCTTCCAGTGGAGCTACTACAACATTTTCACGTATATGCTCATTTCGTATCCTATCTCTAAGAGTAAAGCCACTCATCCACCTGAGTCCTGAGCATCCTCATATCTGCAATACTTAACTTAATATTATGTTTCTCTTTTAACGGCCAACATTCTGCACCATAAAGCATTGCAAGTCTAACCACCATCTTATAAAATTTTTCCTTAAGTTTGAGGGGAACTTTTCTATCCCTACATAAGGGCGAAATCGTCACTAGTACATGAAATAAAAGATACACAAAATAAAACAACATGATAACATCAAAAATATGAACTCCCGATCGTAGCCATCGATCTACGATTCCTTCACCGATAAACCTGCCTAAAATGTCTGTCGATGACCTCATCACACTTCCTATCACTTATCTAAGCAAACATGAGTTGTTCATGAACATAAAATTTACTTAAAAATCCTATATAAATTATAGAATATACATGTCTTCATACATATATCCATACAAAAATAAAAATATAAGCTTAATGTATCTAACTGAACTCGAGCTAATGATCAAACAGTTCACAATCAATAAAATTTTCACCTTTTTCACCAACAAAATCACCAACTCCAGTGGAAACAAAGGATGAATTTGTTTAACTGAACGCTGACCTAATGTATCATATGAAATTAACTGTTCTATTTCTGCTGGATCAGCGGAGGCTTTGGCCCAACAGGTTACCCAGGAGAACTTGGATGAAGGTTTAATCTATCCTCCCTTCAAAAACATAAGAAAGATATCTGCTCAGATTGCAGCTAATGTAGCTGCGAAAGCCTATGAGCTTGGTATGTCCACTCATTAATTTCTATCCATCTTTCATATTTTTTTCCAAATAAAACTCTACTGCTTTCCTAATCTATATTGTTCTTTTAATTGATTTGTTCAGGCTTGGCTAGTCATCTCCCACGCCCAGCTGACCTTGTGAAATATGCAGAGAGCTGCATGTACAGCCCAGTGTATCGTAGTTATCGCTGAATTCACAGTATCTGGATCTTTTTGTACAGAATCTTCATGTAAGTGTTCTTCTGAGTGGTTTTAGTTGTCACTACATTGTAGTTCAAACTCAAAGATCTCTGATAGGGGATTAATTATTCTGTGTGGATACCAGGCATTGTCCGGAGGTCAATCAGAACACGCCACATCACTTTTTTTGTTGGGTACCGGGTCCGGGTGACGTGACTCGTTCATATTAGCCTCCGAATCGTCCGGTATCCGCACAGAATAATTTCTCTTTATAGGGACAAGCCTTTTCTTATTATGTATCACTGATTAATGTTGTACTTATTTCACTACATTGTGATTGGAACCAATAAAGAAACTGATGTTATTGTTAATGATTATCCATGTATCATTTGGGGGCCAATCAAAACGTGTCATGTTACTGTTTAGCTCGGTATCGGGTCTGGGTGATGTGGCGCATTTTGATTGGCCTCCGAATTGTCCGGTGTTTGCACAGAATAATAAGGAGACAAGTTTTTTTTTCTTATTATATATCACTGGTTAATGTTATCCTTATTTCACTACATTGTGATTGGAACCAATAAAGAAAATGCTGTTATTGTTAATGATTATCTATTCAGTCTCACGCATCAAAATTTTTGGCCTTTTTAGATTACTCGGATTTTATATATTGTATTCTTCACAAGTATGGCATCTGTTGAGAAGAAAGATGTTGAAGAGGGGCGGAGCCTGGATATTTTATCTTTAGGGGCAATTTATATATTGTGAGAAAATCTTAAATTTTTTTCATCCGGGATTGAGATCGACATCAGCAGTTATATATATATTTTTAATACTTGTTAAATGTAAAAGATAAATTATGTAATTAAAAACTTACAATCAAATGCATATGATATTCATATTTTTCTTGCATTACAATTTCTCCTTTCGAGCCTTCATATTTTGAAATCGATGTATAATCGCTTTATTTTCCATACTATTAAAAAATATCTTTTTCAATATAAGTAACTACGCAATCATTCATCTAAGACTCTTCCAAACGATTGCACACAAGATTCTTTACTATTTTCATAGCGGAGATCGAATGTTCGATCGTTGCTGCAATTTGTAATTTTTTCATAGCGGAGAATGTTCGATCGTTACACAATTTATTAGCAAGAATACCAAAGGGTGTATATCATTTTTTTTAGTCTCCATCATTTTTTGCGTAAGTTTTTCAATTCCTCTTAAATTATTGAATACATTATTAGATCTCATATCAATGATAAAGCACTCAAGTTGACTATCTAATATAATGAGATCTATATCTAAAAAATTTGATGGATAAATTTTAGTCATGCATTCCAATATTTGTTTGTCAAAAGTTGAATATGAATAATATGGATTCAAGTATGCCACACATATAAGCAACTCAGTATTTATCTCATCAAATATTATATTAAGTTCTTGAAGATCCATATTCATAATTGAATAAAATAACTAAATTTTGTAATGGTGTTCATATGGGCTTGCTTGAGAAAGACGCCTTGTTGATCTTCCTCACATTACAAAATTATCAGCCATGTTTGAAACGATTAAATTATTCTTCTCATAAAAACACTGACTTCTGCTAATAAAGTATTCCATCCATCGCCTCTCATATTTCATCGCCTCTCATATTTCGTAGTCTTTGCTTTGAAACTTTTACTAATGACATAACATTTATGATATATTGACCTTTTTTTTGTAAAGCATGAGAAGCTCATTTTTTACTCTCAATATGTACTTCATCATATGCAAAATAAAAATTAATTTGAAATTTTGCAAAGCATCAAGTAAGGCATAAGCTTCACCTTTTTGCTCGGTGTATGATCCATCCTGTTGTATTATATCAAGAACATTAACAACTGATCCATATTAATAAGGAAACCATAGTGCGAACCCCAACGTATTTCTCTAGCTCGTTGAAGGCCTATTTCCTAATTCAACCCTCTACCTTTTAAAATTTCATCATTTTGTAGTTACTCTACTATCTTGTCATATCGTATCGCTTGTTGCTGATCTCCTCTTTTGAAGTAACATCAGACTATCTTTATCAAATTAGAGGCACTATTAAAAAATGAAATAACTTGAATATGATTTTTAGACATATAGACCAATGCCAATTGTAGATGATGTGCAAAGCAGTGTATATAATAAGCTGAACTATTTTTTTTCATAATCAAAGCTTTGAGACAGTTGAACTCTCCACGCATGTTACTAGCGCCATCATAGCCTTGTCCACATATCTGTGTTATGCTCAATCCATATTTTGTTAAGAGCATTTCAATAACCTTTTTTTAGTGTCAAAACAATAATTTCTTCCACATATACAAGTCCAATAAAGCACTTAATTGCACAACCTCTTTAATCAACAAAATGTAATGCTATAGCCATTTGTTCTTTTAGTGATAAATTTCGTGACTCATCCAATAAAATTGCAAAGAGATCATTATCTAACTCATTTATTATGACATTCAGAGTTTCAATGACAGTAGCATTAGTAATTTCATTCTAAATTTCAAGAGCAATAAGTTTATTATTTTTTGGGGCATTCTTCAAAACAATTTTTCTTATGCTTTCATCATGTGTTGCAAGAAAGTGAAGAAGTTATATATATATTTTTTTTCTTTCTAATTTTCTAATTCATCATGACCACGAAAAGTGAGCCCGTGATGCAACAGAAATCGATCACAATCAATAGTAGTAGTTAAACGAGTTCTATAATCTTTTCGATTTTGATCATAAGGCATTGTACTAGCAAATCTAATGTCTTGTTTTTTATTCATTAGATATTCACATTTTTTTATATGCAATGTTATGAGAACTATTAACTTGTCCAACATGGACTTGAAATATATCTTTTTTTTTTTCCAATTTTGAAAGCCTTTTGTGTCGAAGCTATCACCACTTGCTTGCTTTCATATTTTTGGTCTATAAAGATAATAAAATAAGCAATAAGTTGAATCTTTAGTTAGACTATACTCTAACCATGCTATGTAATCATTAAACCATGCAGGATTAACCTACGTAATTTATTTCTAAATTTTGTTTGTGGGAATTCATAATCTTGAGGTTGACAAAACCCTCTTAATAAGTATGTTCTTTTTAGTGTGTCTCTATCATTTGGATGGTAATCATAATTTTTTTCCATAAACCTAGGTCAACTAGCAATTCATCAAAATTTTCTACAAGAAGATATTTGAATTATGTATTACATCATCAAAAAATTATCATCGGGCACGAATCTTGAGGCAAAATCAAGTTGAAAACTTCCAAAATTAAATCTGGAACCATCTGAACTCTGATTTTAGCAAACTTATAGTCAAACTGAGCTTGTTGGAAATACGAACCTAACTACACCAAATTCAACTCAATACGAGCCCAAAATAGTTCAAATCAAATATCTGAAGCACATTCAGAAGATTCAATCCATAATTTGGATTACCAAACAATTTCCAAATATCGCATGCTTATAGCTGAATCGAGCGGCTCACGAGTCAAATCCAACGAACCCAAGATCATCAAATTCTGAATTCACTAAAGCCTTTAAATGCCTAATAAATGATCCACGGTTGAGGGATTCAACATCGGATGTCCATTCAAACAACTCTCAATTTACTCCCGATCCTCCTATTTACTGGCCATGCCATCCTAAAAAAACTATAAATTGGCCCTCATTTCTCTTAAGAGGGGACCCAAGCAAGAAGAGAGGAAGAGAAGGAGAGAAGAGAAGGAAGAAGCTCCTCCTCGACCACCGTCGGAGTTCTTCCCGACTTTCAAGTGATGCCGGAGTTTCGTCCAAGTGACGCTAGAGTTCCTCCTGACTTTCAAGTGATGTAGGAGTTCCGTCCGAATTCCAAGTGACATCAGAGTTTCGTTCGAGTTTCAAGTGACGCTAGAATTCCGCCTGACCTCTAACTGACATCGAAGTTCTGTCCGACTTCCAAGTAATGCTATAACTCTGTCCGACAACCGACGGACACCAGTTTTCTGAAGTCAGTATTCTGATATCCATTTGCAAATGAATTTCAACCTGAGAGTTGATTGTTGTAATCTGATCGTTCTAAATTTTAAGGACGAGTGAGCTTATTGTAACTCAAACAAACACTGGTGAAATTCTTTCAACTGGGCGAGCATTTTCCACATAAAAATCCTAATTTTTTATTTTTCTTCTATTTGTATGCTGAATATCCATAAAACGATGAGATGTAAAATTCTAAATTTATCGCCGCGTATATTCTAGCCCCGCAATAGTTTCATACAATTTAAATCTTGCTCAATTACATCAACCTTTCTTTTGAAATATCTCTCCACATCTATAACAAAAAAATATATGTAATGATATACAATTAAATATAAAAGAACAAACATATTTGAACAAAATAACAATACATTTTTAATGATGAATAACTTACTTGAATGAAAGATTTGAAATCTTCATCTCAACAATATATATAACAGTAATTTATTAAATTATTTTCTCTAAAATTTATGTCAAAAGAGATTCGAAGATTTAAAAATTATTATAAAACATAGTTATAATCAATTCTCCACTTGAAATCCATGGTGAGCCATTAGGTCCAATTGTCTTGATTCAAGTTAAGTGGCCTTGGGTTTCACCTCTATTTAAGCTTAGAAACTTAATGGAATTCTTTAAGAAGCAGTAAAAAAATCGTCTTAAACGAAACCTTAGGCTATTCCACACCTTGTACTTATCAATATTAGATTCTAGGTAAATCTAGACACCTCTAGGAAGTGATTGGGCTACCTCGCTTTAGTAAATTTGTTTCTAAAACAAATTTGTTTACCCTATAACAAAAAAATAGATCAAAATATTCAAAGCAAATTGTTTTCTTAAGAATCAAAACAAAAGAACTAGAGAGCAATTTCTGAATATCTTTAAAAAAAATTATATATCCCCCAAATGGCAATTGGAGCAACAATAACTTCAATACAAACAAAAGCATACAAAAAAGAAGAAATAATCTAAATATTTGCTTTATATTAGGGGTGTCAATACTTGACACGACACAAAAATCCGACCCGAAAAATGGGTCGGGTTCGGGTTCCCGGATTCAACCCGTTTGAAAAATAGGACGGGTTCGGGGTTGACCCGACGGGTTGCCAGGTCAACCCGAAAACCCGTTTTTTTTTTTTTTTATATTCATATTAGTTAAATATAAAACAAGTAAAAAATATGCAATTACTATCATCCTATTTACTTTAATCATCTTACAAGGCAGATTATCAACTGATTTCTGCTCAAATAATATGCTCATTGATTTAAAACTTAGATCAGATCTTAGACATCTACATCAACAAATTTAAGCTTCCTTTGGCACAGCTTTCTTAT